TTTTCATTCGTTCGCTAGACGGACGAACGGCGGCGTTAAAAGAATGATCGGAGAGAGAGTTGAGCTTAGTTGTGAGCTCTCCGCTTCACGAGTCAGTTAAGTGTTGGAAAGATGGGAGGATGGTCATGTCTTCCTACCTTTTAGAGGAGAAGATGCACTTGTCAGTTGGAAGTATGTTGTAATGTAGGGCAGTGTGTCGCAAGAGGTTGAAACGCGCAGAGAACCTCCCTGCTCTGTTGTGGTCGCGGTTATCTTGTATGAATTACCGTATTCACATCAGGTACGGTCATTATTGGTGTATGTAGACTCGAAGTTGCCCTAAATACAGCTGTAATGACCGTACGTTGTATACGGGTGAAGACGGTAGGGGTAGGTGCGGGGGTAAGCTGGTATGTGTTTGCGGTTTGCAGTGCGTCGGTTATGTCGAGAGGGAAGCAGGGGAGGGGGGGGGTGGAGGGGGTGGTGGTCGGCGAGCAGCGATGTAGGCAAGAGGTTGTTTAGTGTTTGGTTTCCTGTTGTTGCGATTGGGTGAGGCGACTAACGTCTTNTCGGCGAGCAGCGATGTAGGCAAGAGGTTGTTTAGTGTTTGGTTTCCTGTTGTTGCGATTGGGTGAGGCGACTAACGTCTTCACCCCGAATACAACGACCGGTCCGGTAATTATCGCTGTATCTGGTCTGGAAGGTAGTTAATGTTTCCGGCTTGCAGTGTATCGATTATGTCGAGAGGGAAGCAGGGGAGGGGGGGGAGGAGGGAAGGGAGGGAGCAAGGGGTGGTGGTCGGCGAGCAGCGATGCAGGCAAGAGGGTGTTGTCTAGTGTTTGGTTTCCTGTTGTTGCGATTGGGTGAGGCGACTAATGTCTTCACCCCGAATACAACGCCCGGTCCGGTAATTATCGCTGTATCTGGTCTGGAAGTTAATTAAGTACAGGTAAAACGATAACAAGTCGTTCTATTCGGGTGAAGACTATAGCCTGGAGATGACGATGAAGGGGAAGGGGCAGGTGAGCTTTGCGCAATGCCCCGCCAGAAGCCGGGGCTGTGATTACGACAGCCATGGAATTAGGTGCGCTCAATGAGCGCTCGAAAAGAGCGTGTGGTTGATTCGTCACGTCTAAGGTTGGAAGGGCTAGAAGGCGGTTGATTGAAGAAAGGCGGGGGAATGGTAGTGGAGGCGTGGAGGAGGAATTCGCTTGCGGGAAAATGTGTCTGTAGTGTGCCGTCCGGTTGGTGTACAAACGTTTGGCAGAGCCATTGGAGGACGATGAAGGATAGAGTAGGATGGCGTTGCTTCGTATGTTTTCGTCGTTGTTTGGTCTCGCTCGCTGTGGAGGTGGGTGGAGATCTTGGAATTGCTCGGTGTGGAGGAGGTGGGTGGAGATCTTGGAATGTCTGTCTGTTGAGGATGAAAAGGATGAAAAGGTTGATTCGTGTGTCGATTGGCGGACGATGAAGGATAGAGTAGGATGGCGTTGCTTCGTATGTTTTCGTCATTGATTGGTCTTGCTGTGGATGTGGGTGGAGATCTTGGATTATTGTCTGTGAGGATGAAAGAGATAAAAAGGGTTGATTCGTGTGTCCATTGGAGGACGATGAAGGATAGAGTAGGATGGCGATGCGTCGTATGTTTTCGTCGTTGTTTGGTCTTGCGGTGGAGGAGGTGGATGGAGATCTTGGAATGTCTATCTGTTGAGGATGAAAGGGATAAAGAGGTTGATTCGTGTGTCGAGGGATTGTTGCGCGAGTGCGTTTATCATGTCTCATGTCAACGAGAAAGTAAGAGTGGGACTGGCAAGAAGTTGAAGGTCAGCGAGAAGGGAGAGAGGGGGGGGGAGGGGTCGGGAGGGGTTGAGTTTCGACCGATGATGTGATGTACCTCGTGAGAAGGGCGAGTGAGTTGCGAAGCTTGGATGCCTCTGTCATATGGGCGGTGAAAAGAGGGAGGGGGGGGGGAGAGGGGATGAATGGGGGGAGGCAGGTTCGGGAGGGCAACGAGATGATATGCCTCGTGATGAAAAGTTGAGCAGTGTGGATGACAGTCTTGTGTCGTGTGAGGCGGCGGGAGAAAGTGGAGGAGAAAAAGCGTTGTCGGCACGTTTCAGTCTTAGTTAGCAAGGCACGGTGACTTTTTTTCTTTTCTTTTTCCGTTGACCTGAATTCGTATGAGGGAAAAACGTAATTCTTACCAAGGCCTCAAAAGCGACATATCCCAAATTATCTCACCTCGTCGCAATGTGTAAAGGCCTTCCCGACCTTGTTTCGTGGGAGGAGGGGGGGGGAAAGGGTGGGCGGTCTGGTTGGACAGGGTTGGCAGTCTGGTTGGACGACAACGGAATAAGGTACACGCGCCTCGGCAAGGGCTTTTACGTGTGGCGGAGTGGGAGAGAGGAAGTGGAGGAGAAATGAAGCGTCGGCGGCACGTTTCAGTCTTAGTTAGCAAGGCACGGTGACTTTTTTTCTTTTCTTTTTCCGTTGACCTTAATTCGTGTGAGGGAAAAACGTAATTCTTACCAAGGCCTCAAAAGCGTAATTATCCCAAATTATCTCACCTCGTCGCAACGTGTAAAGGCCTTCCCGACCTTGTTTCGTGGGAGGAGGGGGGGGGAAAGGGTGGGCGGTCTGGTTGGACAGGATTGGCAGTCTGGTTGGACGACAACGGAATAAGGTAAACGCGCCTCGGCGAGGGCTTTTACGTGTGGCGGAGTGGGAGAGATGCTGCGGTTTTCCATTGTTCTTTCTCTGAGTTCCTCTTTCCTGTTGTAGATAGTAATCTGCTATGTTTATGAACTAACACGTGGTGTCCCTTAGCTGCTCAAGATTCTAGATGTGTACCTGGACTGAATGGGGACTAGATGCCTTCGTTCTGGTGGAACTTTCTTAAAGTTTTGGGTTCATCACCTGCTCCAGCTGACACAGAATGTTGTGCAATGGAGCGAGCCGTATCCTTGGGCAACTTTACGATCCCGGACTTGGAAGAGTCGAACTGCGCCCTCCGCTATTTCTGCTTTACGAAGAAGACTTTTGTGTTGTATTGTATTGTATTGAGAGTGTTGTTTACAACGTTGAGTGAAATTCAATTCAAATCTGTGAACAGCGAGCCGGCTCTCATTCTGTCTGACTGACTCTTTCGTGGAGGGATGCGGGAAGTTCGCCGCGAAGGGATCATTTGTGTACTGGAAGCGATGTAATTGCTGTCCTCGCCTTTCCACGAAGAAAACGCGCGGTAGTTATAGCAGTGTGTTTGGCATCAATCATTGTCTAGATACAACAGCAATGATCATATGTGTGGAAACTCGCGCAGGCTTACCTAGAGCGTACTCGCACTAGGACTTAGTGGAAATCCCGTAAGGAATGTTCAGGAAAGTCGCGCGAGGTGTGAGTGTGCCCTTAGTGGTGTAGTTGTTTGTGGTTGGAAAAACAAATGTTTGCTCGTCTCTGGTTGCGGGAATTAAGTAAAGACAAGATTGTCGGTGATGGGAGAGGAAGTGGCTGAGGGAAGGAACCGACGTGGAGGAAGACTTTTCGAGGGACGCTGTGTCGGTGCTGTAGTGGTTGTTAGTGGTTGGAAAAGTTTTTTTTTTTTTTTTTTTTTGAGTGTTGTGTCCACGATGTGAGGAGCATTGACCGTGACGACTCTAAACAAAGTCGTCTAGCTGCTAACAAAGGCGGGCTAATGACGCACACACACAGAGAGAGAGAGAGAGAGAGAGAGAG